ATAAAGTTAAAAGATTAAAACTGATAAAACAAGTTAAAAAAAGAGACTTTTCCATTTGATTACATTTTGTATGATGGAGTATGTAGAAAAAGTAGAATTAGGCTGAAAGATCTATCACTCTATCACCTATTCAGGTTGTAAATCGGGTTTTTAAAAAGTAACTAAGTAACTAAGTATTTAAAATTACTTTTGAAAATAAGTAATCAGCAAAGTAATGGGATTACTTTTTGGGGGAAGTAATCAGTAATTAGTTACTGATTACTTTTTTCAAGTAACTTGACCAACACTGGTCAGAGGTAACTGGATGTTCAATCGGGTTAAATGCAAGGTTGATTGGATTATATCTGAAGATCATATGCTATTCGTGATAACTCTGCTAGACTCCAAATTGCTCATCCATGCGGGAGTATCTCAAAATTAAATGAAACCACTTCACACTTTTTCCCTAAAACGGACTGATTAAAGTTTGATCGGAACCAAGTGTTTTTTTCACTTATTCGAGAGAAGTCCGAAATGCGTTCCTAATACTGTTTGTTTTGACTTTTAAGCTACCCTACCCGGATATTTTCATTCAAATGCTAAGACAAAATGTCAATAGCTATGAATGTGGAGAGTCAAAAGACTAGTTTGGTAATAGTTGCCGATGGATTTATGAGAATTGATAGAAACTTGGACGTTTCCAACAGGTGAACTACCGAGGTTGCGCCCAAATGCTTAAAGCTGTTAGCTGGTCAGTGTTTTCAGGTGTGCTTGTACTACCTGTACGGTGCGGAGTGCTGACTAAGTCATGTTAAACCCATTAAAGCGTCGAGCTCAAATATCTTTTCATTTTTCTGCACTGTTCTCTTGTCGGCACACATTTTCTGTTTCCTGAAGCCTTTTGTGAATAATTTTGATCATGTAAAAACTGGGAATTGGTCCCTATTGACAATACTCTTATTTTTTGCCATTTAGGGAAGGTAATTGGTCACTGAACTTTTTGCAACTATGTGTATTTCTAAATTTTGTGGCTTCAGTGCACGCAAATTTATATTGTTCAGTTTGCATGTTAAAAGCCTGCCAAGCACCCCAAGGCTGATTATGCTTGGTAAGAAGTCATTCATGAAATAGAGCTGATTAGACCATATTAAAATTTCTGTTTGGCACAGGAGCTTTTCGTGGACACAGGGATCCAGTCTCTGTTTTGTTAGCTCAAATTTCTGTAATTTCCTTTATAAACCAAGGTTGTTGGACATGTGTCTCAGTGAATCCAGCAAAGTAACAATATCAAATTTCACATTTCATATTACTGATCAACATAGTAGTCTAGCTAGACCAACAGCAGAAATACTGAACTCAATACTGTAAAGTTTAACAGCAGCACAAACTATAAACTCCAAAATAACCATACAGTTGATTCATCTCCGGTAATCTAACTGGGCTGACTCTTTGTTAGGTGTGTTTAATGTGCAGAATAATTCCCAATTATGTACAATTATAATATGTTAAAACGGACTTATGTACATAAGGCCATTAATAATTAACTGCACATAGCTATTTGCTTTATGACTATCAAGACAGTGTGAAGAAGTGAAGTACAGAAATTATTTTATGTTGCATAATGACAACATGTTGCCCCTATACATTTAAGGACAAAGTTCAATGACCGCCACCTGCTGGATGGTGAGTGCAGAGGGGCGTGTAATTGTTGAGCTGGACAAAGAGAACATCTTTGCTGATGCAATGTCAGTCTTCTTTGGTTCATTTTATGTATTGAACCTGGAATACCAGGAGTCAGCATGTGCAAGGTTTTTTGTAAGGATAAACCCTGATGAAGCGCCTTGAGGCGACTTTTGTTGTGATTTGGCGCTGTATAAATAAAATAGAATTGAATTGAATTGAAGAGGGAACAAAATGTACCTCCAAGGTTGGGACAAGCAGAAGGACTGAAGCGAAAGGTTGTTCACATTAACCCTCATGTCACAACTTTCCTCCAGCGGCTTACTGAATTTGAGTGGAGAACTTCAAATTAGGTAAGTGTTTTGGCCATTTTTAGGGAATTTCTTGTATAATTTAAGTATCCAATGTGTTGTTACCTGTGTCTCCACAGATGATCCATGGCCCATGCTTTCTGGACATTTACACAAGACGAACAACAATGAAGACAAGCTCTCTTGCCATCTTGCAAGACGCTGTCTCTGTCCAATAGGTTTTTTGAGTGCAACAGTTTTGATTTTTTTCCCTTCTTTTACCCGTTTGTTAAAAATTATTTCAGCTACTTACACTTTAATTGTCACATGTATTGGCTCACCCTACAAATCAATGAACTCATTCCACAAAGCAAGATCAGGGTTCAGTGCAGGTCAGTCAAGTTCCTTCACACCACACACGCTCATCCATGTCCTTGTGGACCCTGTTTTGTGCATTGATTTGGTAGTGTGAGCCAGTATTTTGGACAAAGTGTACTGATGATGCGTGATAACGGTAAGTTACTGGTTAATATATTGCAGTTTATTACCTTGCAGCGGGCTTACAGTGACATACCGTGAATAAACGGTAGTATACCAATTTCTTAATCACAGTATGATGTTACTTTGTTGACGTAATTTACGACATAACGACATAACGGTATCTCACTGGCGTCACTGTCGCCAGTGAGATACCGTAAAAAAAGGCTACAGGTGCGTTACCATAATTTGTCCAAGAGTATTATACCACACCAGCAAAAAACGGTATCATCCTGCAGAACGGTAAGCTACCGTAACACGGCGTCATGGTATGACGCTGGCAACAGTGACGCCAGTATGTTACCGTAAAGTGGCGATGAAAAGCCTAACAGTGTGTCATATTTTAGTTCTATATCAAATTAAAAAAATAAAGAAAAACATATAGATGTGGATATTTAGTGCAAATGCACATAAAGTATGTGTGCAAAATGATCAAAAAAGTTTGTAATTCAATCCATAAAATGCACAATACCTTTTTTAAATTTGGCTGATTTCTGTTTCAAGTTAATCTCTCTGTGGACCTCTACAGCACTACCACCACACCTGCTTTATTCGGATCCCTGGAAACATTTTCTTTCTTTTTTTTATGACTAGTTTCACAAACACTTTTGCAATTTCAGCCATCATGTTAAGGATCATCACTGATGTCGAGAGCTTGGTCACCATGTGTGGGCCAGAGGGCAAATAACAGTCTTCTGTGGAAGAGCCCAAAGGCAACATCAGGTAAGCAGGATTCATGTTATTTTCTGTAACATTCACAGGGCTATACAACGTGTGTGTGTGTGAGAGGAAACTTAGCGCAAACAACCTGAATTGTGACATGAGACCTCATGTCTTTGTAGCTCACCACGCACTGAAAAGACAGGAGGTTTTTTGCTATTTTTTTCTGTAAAACACAAGGAGAACCTCATATGCACAAAGACCAAAATCTGCATGCAAATGATTGAGTGCAGAGAAGATGAGAGAGAGAGGAGTCTGGTGTTACACGACAATACATGCAGCACCTTTTTTGCCCAAAGCTCAACATTTAGCCACTGAGATCGCATTATCTAGCATCTAACAATGTTACCTGCACACACAATTTACAATCCCTTTGCACCAACTTGGATTGAATTATTCTTCTATTATTCATTTCAGCCTATTTCCTGGGTGCACTATTGTGTTTGTGGCTGTTTTCAGGCAAACATAAAAACAAACATCTTAGAAAATCGAAGTTTTTTCTTTTCAAAGTTCTTAAAAATGAGGCAGACCTGAGTTTTTATTTCCCTATTGTTGTTAGGATGCCTGGGTCGTTGACCCAGGGTTTTTGAGTTTATTATATTATTTATAATTTCTAGTCTTTGGGTTTTTGTTAGAGTCATGTCTTATGGTTTGTTTTAATGTGTAATCCTTAGTTGCTGTCTCCCCTGTCCACTATATCCCCGTTTCCAGTCAGTGTCTGTGTCTGCCCTGGTCCCACGTCTCTGTTCCCTCTGTTGTAGTGCCTGCATGTGAGTCTGTGTCTTTGTTCAGTCTGTGTTATGTGTTTCCTGTTTTACTTTGAAGGTCTCTGTCTTATCTCAGTGTGTTCAGTTTACGCTTCCTTGTCTCGTCAGTTCTGATATGCCCCAGCTGTGTTTCCCTCCTGTTGTCCATTCCCTGATTGCTCCCTCTATGTATTTAAGCCCTGTGTTTCAGTTTGTCATTGTCGTGATCTACCCTTATTTTGCTGTGTGTTCTGTCTGTTTGACGTTTACCTTGGAGTCTCAGTTTTGTTACTTTTTGGAGTTCAGCATTAAAGCTGTATTTAAGTTCACCTTTGATTTCTGTGAGTCTGCATTTTGGGTCCTTCATATCACCACCCCTGCGTGCACACAGCCTTCACATAACAATTGTAGATATATAAATTTATATTACATTATGACCTCAGCCTTTATGACCCTAAACTTCAATAAGTAGTAAAGGCAGAATGATTTGCAGCATTTTAGCTTTCACTTCTAGTTGCAGGATCTCTAACATTAGAATCATAAACTGTGCCTCATATAGGTTTTATTTTGGTACTTTACACGTCACACAGTTTCAAACATTGCTTATATGGCAAAGTTCCTCTTTTCTGTGTCTTATCTATTAATATGCCTGTGCACTAAAACTTCCTGTTTTTTAGTCTGGCTGAGCACTTTGCGAGTCAAAAGTGGCCTTGCTCTACAAGCCTTCATTATTAAAGTACATAAAACAATATAATAGGAAAATAAGGATACTAAGGATATTGATTTCATGACACTCTTCAACAATGAGACCTCTGGCCACGGTCCACTAATATGGTATTTATAACACCACCCAGTTCTCCTGCTTTTTTTGCGATTGTCCAGTAAAAGTGTTGAATTATCATACTATTACAAAAGACATACATATGAAATTAATGCATATTGAATAGAATTTAAATGTTATTATAAAAAGCAAAACTTCTTGCTTTGATCATGCCTCCAGTACACAATTAGTAAAAAAAAAACATACATAGATAATTGAAATGGAAAACAGTAACACAATTTGTTATATGTATAAAAAGATAACATATTTGTCAAAAATTATTTCAACACTGAGCATTTTCAAAAATATGCTGTAAAATTTTACGTCAGTAATGCAGCACTCACTATACAACAAAAAGATCAAAGAAACAGTGCAGTTACGCCAAAAAATTATCAGACAAATATAAAAAACAAAGAAATAGTGTCGAAAAGTAAAAATTCTTAAAAAAAAGACTTGATTTTAGATATATACATTTACATTGCAACACATAGACAGTAAAGTTTTTGTACTTTTTCAGAAAATTAAAATTTAAACCTTTGACTTAAACATAAAATCCAACTTCAGATATTGATTTTTAAAATCTTATAAGAATTCAGAATTCTTGCCTATTGACACAACTCTTGTTTGTTTTCTATCAGCACTCTTCCAACTGTCTGAAACTCAAACGCATACCAGTTCAGCACATTGCCTGCTGTGAAGCTCAGATTATTCGAGTAGTTCTGGATCTCACAGGAGGAAAGGGTGCGGTCCCACATGTGGACATCGGACATCATGCCAACAAAGGACTGATTGATGTCAAATCCCCCACCATGGGTATCCTGATCCTGAGAAATAGCAAAGCGTTTAATTAGAAGATGTATTGTTATATTTTGATATACCTAACTGTATGGTCTCAAGCAAAATCATCTACAGTTAGACATCAGTCAAGCTGTAATCACTGGCTAAAAACAGTTTGGTGATATCACTGACACATCTTTAAATTGTATGATCTAATAAACTTTGAGTATTTCATTTATGTGTTTTAGTATTCAAATGTATAATTTCTTCTAGCCCCAGAGTATATTATACATATATTGGATGTAACATGTAGCCCACAAAACATACTCTAAATATAAACGCTCTTATGCCGCAATGAACCACATGTCCATGAACATGAACAAATGGATCAAATTTTGAATTTGTATTATATTTGTCAGTGTCTGTTTGTTTGAAGATAAAGTAAAAGCTTTCTATGTGTGGTGCTTTGTAAAGGTACCTGTCCTAAGACAATGATAATGGGTCCATTGATGTTGGATCCAGAGCTGGTGAATTTTCTACTTGAGGGGACTCCATCGACCCACAGCTGCACGAGTCCAGAGGTAGCGTTCCAAGTGGAACAAATAGAATGCCATGTGTTCAACTTGTAGGCAATCCCTTCAACTGTATTCGACTTGCCCCTGGCCCACAGTTCAAATAAGCCATTTGCAGCTTTCTTGAATATCAGGAAGTTATTGTCAGCAGAGGGTGTAGCCAGAGAGAACAAGGAATGGTCTCTATTGAGGTCAGTAAAGGACCTAAAAGCAGTGAAAAATGGATTTAATAGTCTGATATGCGGTAGTTACATGTTTCTTTATTTAATTCAGTTTGTTTAATTAAAAATACCTGAAACACACGGTTACAGCCTTCAGATCTTGTCTTGATGTAGTCACCCTCACATGAGCTGTATTGGTTTGTTGTGGGAAGGTGAATATTTTATTTGCCAGATCTTTAAAAAAATAGAGAAACATATGAATAATGCAAATAGAAAAGGAAGTAATAAGCAGCATACTATAATAAAAATGAATTAATAAAAGAATATTTGAGAAAATCTAAAATCAAAACAGAAGAATGATTTTTGTTGAAGCTGTTTGTCTTTATGGCAAAGTTTGCCCTCCACAGAGCAACAGCACTAGTGCAGCTAATGCTTCACAATACAACAACACTTCACATTCACATTAAATATTAACTATAGGAATTCTGTTCCTGAGAAATGGCCGAGAGATGAATTAGCAGGTGTATTTCACTCTTATGTTTTTATGACAGATGACAAAAAGTCTAATAGAAGAATAATGAGCTTTTTTTGGAAAACATATTGCAGACATGCAATGATTTATGCAATATGATTTTTCATTTATGCAATATTTTATCATTACCAATGCGCATTCAAATGGAATGTATACAAATTTAATTGGTAGTGAAAATGTTAAATGCAACCTTTAAAAGCTCGAATTTTCCCTCCATAATACCTGCCCATATCTGTGTGCCCTGAAACATTCTAGCTGGAAACTCAGATCACTGCATATTAATATTTGCCATTGTTTGATTATTTCTGACATATTTGGAATTAATCCCTGCCTCTAACACTAAGTATCAAATGAATTTTAAATTTTTTTTTACAATAATAGGTATAGAATTTGAAAGGAAAGAAAATTGGTTTAGCCATAAGTTTTGCCAAGTGAACGTAAGGTGTGGTGTTTAAACATATTCTGTCTCTTGTCATCGTAAGCTGTGTAGCAGGCAGTCTATGGACCCAAATGCAGGACTGAGATGCAGTATTAAACCCGAAGGCGGCAGTTTTTATTCACTGGCAGAAAAGGAACTGAGAAACACAATACTTGAGCACTAGAAAATAAAACCAAAACTCAAACTAGAAAGGATGATCTAAACTGGGAGTTCATGACGAGACCAAGGGAAGCGAAACTAGAAACTCTAACATGAAATAGGACTTTCAAAGTAAAACAGGAAGCACACGACAGGCACAGACTTGACACTGAGCTAAACCTACACTGAACACGAGGACACAGGAACAAAAATTTACAGAACATAGAAGAACTTGAGTGCTAGAAATACAAAACTAGAAGTCATAAGCCACCATGATGAAATCCAAGACCAAAAATAATAATACAAAAAACTGAAACACCAGGTCACCGACCCAGCACCGTGACATCTATTCCTGCTTTCCTTTTGAATAAGGATGAAGGAGTATATATCTAAAATGGTAAACATGGACACCTCTAATGTTAGTATTTATCAACACAGTAGGCTACACACTCTAAGTCTAATACACCTTCATTGTTATTAATTTTGGTTGCATATGTTAAATACTTAATAATTAAGATAAAAAAAAAAATAGAAGGTACTTTGAGGGATTGCAGTGCACGATGTCAGCATCACCAGTAGAAGCACCAGCAGCATCTACAAAGACATGCAAACATACCAATTCACATTGTTTATTGGTACTGGTGATACAAACAAATCTGATGTCACTTTCATCATCCGCACCACAATACACGTAAAAGGGTTTCTGCACATGCAATACATTTTGTTTCAATATGAAAATCATATCTTACCTTGGATACAGTGTCAGGATAGAGCCTTCTATACTCTGGGTCCTTTTGTGAATGGTTTGTTTTTTAACAGTGCAGAATGGTTCCTTTTATACCATGGCTGCTGCTGTAAATGGTTAATTTTTTATGGCAGTCATTGTTTCTGTAAATTTCCATGTTCCTACTTCCCGCACGTGTGTTTACAACTTATGGGATTAGATCCGAGGAATCTGAAAACTTCCCCTTCACGCCTATAGCGAAGTTTGAATCAACAGTCACTAACATTCATGTCTTTGGGTTATAGAAATAAGTTAGAGTATGCGGAGTAGAGTCTGTTTTGACAATCTTGTCAATTATAAGTGACACAAAAGTGTGCATTTCATTCTTACAAATGAAACAGAGAAGAAAAAGGGGTACGTATCAATATATTACACACAAAGCCCAGCTTTGAAAACTCCAAACTATGTAATAAAAAATGCAATATACGCTTTAAAACCATTTTTATTGTGTAACATATTAATAGTATAGATTGGAAAAATTCTTTACATTGGGCATAAAATTGGTATTAACAGTATTAACAGTAATGGTATCGCTTGTCTTCTATCAACACTCTTCCTGTTATCTGAAAATCCAGAGCATTCCAGTTCAGCACATTCCCCAGAGTGAAGCTCAGCTCATCTGAGTAGTTTTGGATCTCACAGGAAGACATGGTGTAGTCCCACATGTGGACATCAGATATCATGCCAATAAAAGACTGATTAATATCAAATTCTCCACCATAGGAATCCTGTTCCTGAGAAATGGCAAAGAGTTGAATTAACAGTTATATTGCACTGTTTCTGACTGACACAATGTCACAAATAAGGAGAATGAGAATATTTGGAAAACATAAATAAATAAATGCTGTGAAATTTCGAAACATTTTAATTATATAACATAATAATAGTATTGTTTGTCCAACGTACAGTGGTTTGGCTTGTAAACTTTTCCACATTTTGTCACATTGTCACTCTATTTAGTCATTAGCACTCATCAGGCAATGTCTATGGGCAACTGACTGACCAAAGGGGGCTGAATAATTACGTGACAAACACGTGTGAGCTGTGTTTGTCGTTTGGAATCATGTATGATTTTCGTTCCACTTCTCACATGTACACCATTTTGTGTTGGTCTTTCACGTGGAATTCCAATAAAATTGATTCATGTTTGTGGCTGTAATGTGACAACATATGGGAAAGTTCAAGGGGGCCGAATACTTTTGCAAGCCACTGTAAGTAGTCTGAGTCACCTTAGCATAGTACCTACATAAAATGGAAATGGGGAAATCTAAAGCAATGCTGATCCCAAAAATACTAAAACCAAACCAGGAAAAATGCTTCACTGGAAGTTTGGAGCTGCACTCCTTATGGATATCAGCACAGGTTCCAGACAAGTATTGTCAGGTCTTATACTCTTTTTGTTAAATATAAAATTGTGGTTTTCACTTTAATTCTTGTCTTTAATATAAAGTGAACTTGAAGCACTAGTATGTTGGTTACAGATCCAGAGCTTCAGCCTGTTCTGTTTCCCCATCGCTCTGTGCTAAGCTAACATAATTAACCTCTCAGACCAAATCACTGTACTTTATCTAATATAGCAACTGTACACCAGTCACAGTGAGTTTGAACTGTACCTGTCCTAAAACAATAGACATGGGTTCACTGATGTTGAATCCAGAGCTGACGAATTTCCTGCTGGAAGGCTTTCCATTTACCCACAGCTGAATTATTCCAGAGGTAGCATCCCAAGTGGAACAAATCGCATTCCACGTGTTCAACTTGTAGTCTTGCAATGCAAATTCAGCATTTTTGTCCCTGACCCACAGATCAAACAAATCACTTGCATCTAGTTTGAATATCAGAAAGTCATTGGAAGCAAGCGATGTTGCCAAAGAGAAAATAGGGTGGCCTCTTCTGAGGTCTGTAAAGGATCTGTAAGCAATGACAAGACACTGACATACATGATGATGCTTATGATTATGATGATGATTATTATTATTATTACTATTTGATTTTGCATATTCAACATTACCTGAGACAGACAGTTACAGCACTTAAATCTTGTTTTGTTGTTAACAGCTTCGTGTGAGCTGTGTTTGTCGCTTCTGGGAAGGTCAACATTTTACTTTCCAGGTCTTAAAGGAATTAGAGAAATAAATTAATAAAATGATCAGTAACTTTCCGTGATGCTGATAACCAGACCAGATTTCTCACACCTACAGGGAGTGCAGAATTATTAGGCAAGTTGTATTTTTGAGGAATAATTTTATTATTGAACAACAACCATGTTCTCAATGAACCCAAAAAACTCATTAATATCAAAGCTGAATGTTTTTGGAAGTAGTTTTTAGTTTGTTTTTAGTTTTAGCTATTTTAGGGGGATATCTGTGTGTGCAGGTGACTATTACTGTGCATAATTATTAGGCAACTTAACAAAAAACAAATATATACCCATTTCAATTATTTTTACCAGTGAAACCAATATAACATCTCCACATTCACAAATATACATTTCTGACATTCAAAAACAAAAACAAATCAGCGACCAATATAGCCACCTTTCTTTGCAAGGACACTCAAAAGCCTGCCATCCATGGATTCTGTCAGTGTTTTGATCTGTTCACCATCAACATTGCGTGCAGCAGCAACCACAGCCTCCCAGACACTGTTCAGAGAGGTGTACTGTTTTCCCTCCTTGTAAATCTCACATTTGATGATGGACCACAGGTTCTCAATGGGGTTCAGATCAGGTGAACAAGGAGGCCATGTCATTAGTTTTTCTTCTTTTATACCCTTTCTTGCCAGCCACGCTGTGGAGTACTTGGACACGTGTGATGGAGCATTGTCCTGCATGAAAATCATGTTTTTCTTGAAGGATGCAGACTTCTTCCTGTACCACTGCTTGAAGAAGGTGTCTTCCAGGAACTGGCAGTAGGACTGGGAGTTGAGCTTGACTCCATCCTCAACCCGAAAGGCCCCACAAGCTCATCTTTGATGATACCAGCCCAAACCAGTACTCCACCTCCACCTTGCTGGCGTCTGAGTCGGACTGGAGCTCTCTGCCCTTTACCAATCCAGCCATGGGCCCATCCATCTGGCCCATCAAGACTCACTCTCGTTTCATCAGTCCATAAACCTTAGAAAAACCAGTCTTGAGATATTTCTTGGCCCAGTCTTGACGTTTCAGCTTGTGTGTCTTGTTCAGTGGTGGTCGTCTTTCAGCCTTTCTTACCTTGGCCATGTCTCTGAGTATTGCACACCTTGTGCTTTTGGGCACTCCAGTGATGTTGCAGCTCTGAAATATGGCCAAACTGGTGGCAAGTGGCATCTTGGCAGCTGCACGCTTGACTTTTCTCAGTTCATGGGCAGTTATTTTGCGCCTTGGTTTTTCCACACGCTTCTTGCGACCCTGTTGACTATTTTGAATGAAACGCTTGATTGTTCGATGATCACGCTTCAGAAGCTTTGCAATATTGAGACTGCTGCATCCCTCTGCAAGATATCTCACTATTTTTGACTTTTCTGTGCCTGTCAAGTCCTTCTTTTGACCCATTTTGCCAAAGGAAAGGACGTTGCCTAATATTTATGCACACCTGATATAGGGTGTTGATGTCATTAGACCACACCCCTTCTCATTACAGAGATGCACATCACCTAATATGCTTAATTGGTAGTAGGCTTTCGAGCCTATACAGCTTGGAGTAAGACAACATGCATGAAGAGGATGATGTGGACAAAATACTCATTTGCCTAATAATTCTGCACTCCCTGTAGTGTTTAATGACTTAATACATAAATTTACTTTGAGGAGTGGCAGCACATGTTGTCAGCGTCACCAGTAAAAGCAGCAGTGCCATCTGATACAAAGAAAATACAATAATTCAAAACAAACATTGCTCAAATGTTCACCTTTCAACTTTAGTATGGAAATAAGGTGTCTGTCACTTAAGGCAACCTGCTACAATATATAATGCAGGCAGAAAAATTTTAAAACTTTTGTGTGGAAAGCATTAATTTAATTTGCCCTGTGTATCATGTCTTACCTTGAATTCAGTCTCAGGAGGTTGTGTTGCATGAGGCCAGCGAGGGAGTGAGTTTTCTAGTGGCAGTGTTTGTTGGTGAAAATAGGTCTCCTTCATTGAGGTCATTGACTCTGGGTTTGTCCTACCCTTAGATCAAGAACACAGCACATTTTGTAATATTACCTCTGTAAACAACCTCTGGATTTTAAATCAAACAATCAACATGACTGGAGTACAGATTTTGATACAAGGGTTTTTTCCAAAGTGTTGCATTAACTTTGTAGGAATTTTAACCATTCTGATTAATTGACCCCCAATTTCACCTACTTTATAATTGCTTCCTTTAAGGCCTCAAACTCTTACAGTGAATTACAAAAAGAGAACGCGTCTCAGAAAGAGCTTTAGCACACTTAAGCAAACGTATAATTAATTCTAGTCAATTCTCTAAAATCCTATCAAACACTGGTTAAAAAAAGAATTAAGTATTGTACTTGTACTTGTTTTGTTACTACTGGGGAGGCCTGGGCAGGAGATCCCCGGACCAGCAGCCAAAACCAGTAATTTAATGTTCTCATTAGGCTGAAAGTCTCAAAATTTCTCAACCAATTTTAAATGTGTTAAGAGAATTTTTATTTTAGTTAAATCATTAAAGTATAATCAAGTAGAAACAAGTATGCCTTATAATCAAGTGTTTATATATTTTCACACGGTAAAGCTTACTGTTGAAAAGAACACAATGTATTCCTTGCTTAAGTGTGTGGGATGTTTGACAAAGACAGGATATATACATGCATTCTTTACTTCAGTGTCTGCGATGTCAGATAAGCATGAATACTGCTGTGTCGTTGTTTTTCAGTTTGTGTGCAGAAGTTAGATAGCTAAGACAATGCCTGAGCTCTCCCCTCTTCAGTTGAAAGAGGAAGTACTATGTAACCCATTTTGCCTTATAAATAAAGCGAGTAAACGGTGCTCGGTGTGTTAGTCTGCTCAGAGACTCTCACCCGTGCGCACGTCTTTAAAACTCTGAGTCGGTCTGCCAGTGTCTCATTTCTCTCTTACTGTGCTTTTACAAATGTCAACCCTTGACATTTAATTGGTCCTTCGAGCCGGATAACTGACTGTTATTTTTAACGTCCACTTTTTCTCACAGACGGTCTCCATCGGATCCTGACGTCGTGACGCCTGCGCTGGAAGAAATCTGATCAGTAAAACGAAAAACCCGGACACGTGAATTCGATCTCCGGTCAGCGTTCGGCCTTCACGGCTCCAGGACCCGATGAGCACCGGATCCAAAAACGCAGCGCCACAGTAGAGGTGAATATGAAACACTGCATTCCATCAAGCGCTAAAATACGTT